GTTCCTAGTAGTAAGGCCAAGAGCCCATAGTAGCATTCTTGCTCCTATAGTAGCGATGCCAGGAGCTCCTAGTAGCTTCTTGTTCCTAGTAGTAAGGCCACGAGCCCATAGTAGCATTCTTGCTCCTAGTAGCGATGCCAGGAGCCCCCCAAAAAAGTTTTCTCCCGATTCCAAATCTTCTGAGCGCCGCGCGACCGTCGAAGACACTTACAATCAAAGACTTCACTGGTGTCTCATAGACTCCGTAGCGCCTGTCGCCGTTCATGGCCTTTCCCACCAAATCCTCCCTTGCCCATTCCTCGCAACACCCTCAACTATCTACACTTCAATCATGCCCAAACACGTGTGTTTGTCAAACAGTTTTACAGTAAAAACGCAGGAACACACAACTGCGTACCTGAGCCAACGCGCTGTCTTGTTCCTACGCTTGTTCCCATAGATCTGCACCAATTAGAACCTCTTCTAGGCTCCAAGCCCAACACTGGCAGATGCCCCTTCCAAGTCGCAAGTAGAACTTTGACCTGGCAAATCAACAAAAATCCACGAGTCGCCATCCAACTCGGCTTACGCGCGGCACTTCACTGCACCATTTCGCATGGCTTCTAGGCTTCTACGCACCGTGCCCGCAGAAGCTCTCCCAAGGGTCCACCGCCCGCCCAACCTCCGAAGCCAGGGTTGCTATACTGAATGTGCCTGGTGGCCCAGCTGTTGGGATTCCTTCACCCTTTTCCTCCGCTACTCGGAGCAAGGACGCTTTAGTAGTAGCTCCTGGCCTTACCACTAGGAGCAAGAAGCTACTAGTAGCAAAGGGCATCGCTACTAGGAGCAAGGGCGCTACTAGGAGCAAGGGCGCTACTAGTAGCTCCTGGCATTACTACTAGTAACAAGAAGCTACTAGTCACTAGTCATACACTCAGAAGCCTGACATAGATGCTGTCACAACCCAACAGTAAATACAAGTACCAAACTGTCCAATATATATGCACATAGTTGCACATACAGTAAATCTTTAATGGTTGACGTTACCGTTAGGCGGGTCTTCTCTGCAGGAAATGTGAGGCATGGCCTTCACAAACGTGATTGAGGGCTCGCAAATCTCGCCACCCAGCTTTGCAAGACGCAACAGGGTCCACAGATTCAGTGTGCAGGTGCTCCGAATAGGTGGAGGCCATCACCAGAAGGTTGGAGGCCATCGCTGTTAGAAACAAAAAAAGGAAGAAAGCTCCACGGTTGAGAGAATGGATGATGTGCCTTCACCCATGGACGGGCGTGGAACATCACACACACACACATATATATATATATGTAGCGAATCTAAAACATAAGAATACATAGTTTTAGAGATTTAATAATAGCAATTGTTAATTGTCTATGTTGTTTTAAACAAACGACCATTTTGGCGGGGCATAGCATGCGAAAAGCTTTGATTTCTTGAACTTTTTGTTTGTAAAGTTCTTGTCTCTCGTGGTAAGGGTAGGGACGTTGACAACTTTAGACTGGTAGCAACACGCAAAAACAGCCATAATTCTATGTACATGCATATAGAGTAACAAAACAACTAACAAAGGGAAAAAATTGGAAGACACAGGAAAGGCATAAAAACAAACGTCTTTATAAGTCTAAGATTTTAAACAACACTGCTACAGAAACAAGAAGGAATAACACAATTGAAACGAAGGCCGCACGCAGATCGCACGAAGGCTTGGACCCCTGCGCATAGTATCTCCCTCCAATGACTGCCAGTTCCCAACCTTAGCACTGTTTGCGAAAGCACACCTATATATCACACCTAGAATAAAATCCAATATATAAATCTATATTATTACCTGGCATTACTACTAGTAGCAAGAAGCTACTGGTAGCAAGGTGCCTTACACCTAGGAACAAGGAGCTACTAGTAGCTCCTGGCATAATGTGTTGTTTTAACTGTTGTTAAAAAAAAAGAAAAGTATGTTGTGTTGTTGGCCCTGAAGGCAGGGGGGGAACTTCCTTCCAGCCTCAATGATATATTAAATATGCTAGGAGCTCCTAGTAGTTTCTTGTTCCTAGTAGTGTCCTTGTTAATAGTAGTAAGGCCAGGAGCCTCTAGTAGCATTCTTGCTCCTAGGGTTCCTGGATTCTTTTGGAAACCATGAAAGCCCAAAGTTTCCACGAGAGCACCACCTCTTCTTAGCTCTCAACACGCAACAAAATGCACGACAAAAACAAATGGACGTGTATATATCCAGTATGCTTTTCAACCATGCAGAATCACTCCAAACGCCTTCAAGTTTGGCAAAACGCATCCTGCCAGGTTGACTTCCGAGTGTACGAATGCTTTGCCTCCAAACAGAAGTGGAAAAAACATTCCGGAGATGTTCGGGTCGGTTTTGGGGATCTCAACTTTGCACGCAACGACAAGGAGCATTTGGCATTATCAAGGTGCATCACATCCGTTGCACATAGAGTCTATATCACCTACTGTCTGGGCATCCTAGCGAGCATCTGCACATGAGAGTGCCTGGGCAAACTGCTTGACTACTCCGTCCAGAAGTCAAACACGAAGCTGCGTTGATCACCGTTACCGAGGTCCGCTACCACCGACACAAAGTCTGCTCGAGCTCTTGGACGAGCCAAAACAAATGCAAGTCAACGTTTCATGAGCTCTTGTACTTCACACATTTCATGAATGCGTCTCTAAGCTCCTTGCAACCTGGGTGTCGAGCACCGGATCTGAGAAGTGCTCTCGGTTTGAGCCTGCAAAAAAAGGTCATTTCATGTCATTTCTGAAGTGAACCAATGCTGACCACTAGTAACAAGAAGAAGCTACTAGGAGCTCCCGGGATCGCTACTAGGAGCAAGAACACTACGAACGGGGCGCTCCTGGCCTTACTACTATTAACAAGGACGCAATGAACGTAGCTCCCCCCAACTCAAACCCTCTGTGGACGACCTGCCGCAAATGCGCAGCGCCACCCAAAGGTGTCGCCCGACCTGATCGTGCACACCCGAAGCTAAAGGAAGTGAAGTGGTGCTCCAGAGGTCCAGGTTACGGTTCACCTAGTAGTAACAAGTGCATCGCTAGTAGTAACAAGTGCCTTACTAGTAGTAACAAGAAGCTAGTAGAAACAATAAGCTAATAGCTTCTTGTTCCAGGACTTGGCCAGGTAGGTTTGGGGGCGGAGCACCATGCACCAATGCCAGATACGTCAGGCGTCATCGCAGGTGACACCATGCGACACCGATCCAGAAAGGAAGGCACGAAGGCAAAGCAGCTGTTATACCATACACATAGAAAGAGGGGGCGAGAGAGAGAGAGAGAGAGTATGCGTGTGCTTTTTTAAGCCATCTTTAAATCGACAAAACATAAATACAGTAATCGTTTGAGCGCCCTTAAAGTTGTCCCTGATGGTCACCGACATTTATGTCTTGAAAGCAAGTCCATACAGGCACATGGCCATCGCTACTAGGAGCAAGAATGCTACTAGGGGCTCCTGGCCTTACTACTAGGAGCAAAGACGCTACTAGGGGCTCCGGCCATCGCTACTAGGAGCAAGAAGCCACACAAAATGAGTCTAATTGTGGCCTGTGATGCCTATCGACTTGGAGCCCAACGGCCGTGGGCCATACAAATCCCCGGTGTCTGAGACATAGTCCAGGGGCCTCAACTTGACACATCCACAAGGGAACTGAGTCGACCGCGGCACGGTTCTTTCGTTCGGCTTTTATTTTCAAAGTCGCAATATATGCCCAATGGGCTATTAGGGAGGCCATCGCTATTAGTAATTAACAAGAAGCTACTAGGTTGGAGCCCAGTGGGCCCTTTGTTACTAATTACTAGCAAGGACGCAGTAGTGCCCTTGTTACTAGTAGCGATGCCACTTGTACTACGATTCAGTCTTTTTGGAACACACTTATGGGTCTCCCGGCACCTCCGAGAGCTCATCCTGGCTGAGTCACTCTCTCTGTCCGCTTGCTGAGTACAAGAACAAACATGCCTTTTAACAAGCGCTGTGCCTTTGCCTCCACAAGTTTTTGTCTTCCCATGCCCTACATAACCCTACATTTCATTGGTGCCCTACTTATCTACCTGACCGCACGTTGACTTCTCAAAAGAGGCACCAAATCGCTCTCCCGACCGATGGGCTTAGCTGAGAGTCGCCGGGCACCGCACCTGAAAGTTGACCTTCAGACTCCATGGAGCGAACCTCATCGACATGAAGCTACTAGGAGCAAAGGGCATCGCTACTAGGAACAAGGGCATTAGTAGTAGCTCCTGGCATTACTACAAGTAACTAGCAACAAGAAGCAACAAGATGCAACAAGTGCGTAGCTATGCGTAGCTACTAGTAACAACCTATAACTTATCTCACCAAACACCGGAAACGAAGCAACAAAGCCAAGCAAAGAACAACACAAAGTAGACTTGGAAAAATATCCTAGCAGTCTGCGATGTGTTCTCAAGGAGCAGAAATCTCAATGCCTTTTCAGGTTAAGGGTTGAACAAATGAAGGGCAAACCAAGCGCCTGGGTGCAAGTTTGGCAACCTGAAGCCGAATCGCACCGATTCCAAACACTTGTCACCAAAACATGAAGTGCCAAAAAAGCGTGCCATGCAAATAGGCAGCTGCAATGTCCTGGATTTCATAGGCAAGCCAGGACGCACAACTGGCAAGGCTCACGATGAATGTTCATTGGACTCCTATTTTGAAGCGGATGGAGCGCCAAGGCTCGCAGGGTACAGCACTAACCACAAGCTGTTGTCAGGTGTTGCACGAGGGTCTTGTGACAGTGCACCAACAAAATGGCAGGCTTCCACACAGTGGGGGAGCTCAACAAAAATTGCACATGCACATCGAAGATGCTCGAATACTTGGCACGAAGCGCATGAATACCGGTGCTTGCTGGCAACAGCCCCCCAGCTACTGTGAGAATGTGAATTCTTCTCTCAGCTCCATGAGAGATGCACGAGGTGTCGACCTGAGTGCAAGGAGCTAGTTGAAGCGCAAACAAACACATACGTACTACAGTATATAGATTGATCTCACTGCACTAGCACTAGCCGCCGGATTTGTTCCGGCTTCTGGTTTCGCCCGTTCCTCCTGCACACGTCCAATCTGGTCAGAACAACGCATCAAACAGTTTTGCATTGAAGATGTCTAAAACCGACCATTCAAAGCATTTCAATCTCTTCTTTGTCTGGTCGTCTCGAAACTCAAAGGCAGGCTTGGCCGACAGTTGCACAAGAAGCACAAGATGCACAAGGGTCCAGGCTGACTTTTCCCAAGACTTTGGAAAATGAGTATTCTGTGCACTTAGGCACCCTTCATCCTCTCCAACGTCGGAAAGGACATCGGAAACGTGATGAAGTCCTACCTCTATGTTCTCCTTCCACAGCGTTATGTAACGTCAATGCCAAACGTGCCTTTGCCAAACGTCCAATGACAAGTGTTGGCCAACCCTTTCAATTTCTGTGGAGGTCACAGGTCAAGCCACACACAGCTTGCAACGGCAAGCTGCACGTGTCATTGAATAACTCATACATCTCTAAAAGCACACGACATGGATCTGCACATAGATCTGTTACCTCACACCCGCATCAATCCAGTGGCTAGCTTTATGTTTAAGCCTGCCCTGGAAGCAGGTCTGTATATACAATTGCAAGCTGCTTTGGCTCGCTTTTGACGAGAAGCCTCGCCAATGAATCTGACAAAGCAAATCCCTCGATAGGCTTCAGAACGCTGGAAGCCGGCTCTGAAAGTGCTCAAGCCTTCAGCACCAGTAAAGCATTGCTCAGCAGCAAATCTTCCTGCAACTGGAGGCCCTGTGCCGCTTGGCTTTGCAAAAACCGGATGCTGCGATACGCCGCTGCCAAGGATCGTCGTTGCGGCTCAACCAGGCGGATCTGCTCCAGCAAAACCTCTGCCTTATCGAAGTGGCCAGGACCTCTCAGTGGCGAGGCTGGCGAGGCGAGGCTTGCAAGGCCCTCCGCAACATATCGATCTCTTAAAAACTAATAAAAACATCTCCCGTCTTATGCTATTAAACTGTTTACTTGTTTTTTTATTTTCGGCAGTTCTACCGCAGCTTCTCAAAAAATCACAATAGGAACATCACCAAGGTTGCCATGCCAATCACTGCCAAGTGGCCCACGAGAAGGCAAGCAATGGCTTTCTGAAGCTTCATGCTGGTCCACAAGTCTTCATGCGCTGTGTTCACAAACTTGGGGATGCCTGGGCACGTCGACAAGCTCCGCGCCTTCCGAGGTGGAGCAGTGTCCCGCCCGAAGTATCCGGTGGCTTCCTCGATGAAGAGATCTAGGTCAGCCCAACGTCGCAAGCGCACGTAGCAGTGGCACAAGCCCCGCAGCAAGCGCCGGAAGTGATGAAACTGAGGCTTTGCTCCCAAAACCCGATGCCTTGGAACATCTTGCACAAGTGCTCAACTTGTGCTCAAAGTGCTTTTCAAAATCAGCAACCTGAAGGTAAACAACAGTCGAGCACGGTCAAGCGGTGAACAAGTGTGAGGGTGTACAGGATGTAGCAACAAGAACAGGGCGAACAGGGTGTACACTGAACAGTTAGTAGTAACAAGATGTACAAGAGGCTATTAGTAGCTCCTGGCATCACTACTAGTAGCAAGAATGCTTACAGGAACAAAGGGCATCGCTACTAGGAGCAAGGACGCTGCTACTGCCGATAAGAAAAGCCTTGGATTTGAACATTTGTGCTGCCCAGCTGCGGGGCAGTGCTCGTCTTGCGAGTGCTGCTTGTCATCATCATCTGCACGTCTCCTGCATAGTATACAGATGTATACACAGTCACCCCCCTAGTAGCGTCCTTCTTCCTAGTAGCGTTCTTGCTCCTAGTAGCGATGCCAGGAGCTCCTAGTAGCGTCCTTGCTCCTAGTAGTAAGGCCAGGAGCTCCTAGTAGCAAGAACGCTACTGGGAACCTGCAGCCACTCCCCTGTTTTGTATGGCCCCAGCTTTGGATCCCAAGCATTCTAGTGCCCAGCTGCTTTGGCTGCCCAATGCATCTTCTAAAGACACAAACCAGCAAACTCTGGCCTTCACCATACTTACTGACACAGCTTGAAGAGCCTGCATATGCCTCTATGGCAACCATTTAGCCAAGTCTCTCTTGTACATGAGCTGGCTGTAGGATTCGGTCGTCAACTCCTCCTCTTCTCCTTCTTCTTCACCGTCCTCAACGTCCTCTTCCTCTTCTGATTCACTGATAATCCGCTGAAATACCATGGCCTGTGCTTCCAAGGCGCAAGCATAGGCCTCTTCCTCGGCCTCACGGTGCACGCGCAGCACCAAGGCATCGTTGAGGCACTTGGCGAAGGTGTCCACGGTGGGGGCAGGTGGCCAATCGGGAGAAATTGCACACTCTTCACGGTCCTGGCCGAAGAATGAGCGTTTGGTTGACACAAACATCTGGAAGGTTCTTAGTTCTTTTGGTTTGTGATGAATATACATTCATATGCACACATGTGAGAGCAGTGTCTCTTTACAAACATATCACATATCTATCTGTATCTATCGATGTGTGCATTCCGTGTCTATAACTGTTTTTAATGCAAGTGAGGGTGCTTCGCTGACACCCTGCAGCACTTCCCCAATAGTGAAGGTGGATGAGCCCCAACCATCATGTAGTATTGTTTGATCTCTTATGATGAAAGGGCCGCTTTCAGCCATGTGACACTGACTCGACTCATCCGCACCTCATCATCTTCATAGCAAATCTCCGGCGGCTCAGGTTCATCTGCGAAGCCTCTTAACGTCAAGGCAGCTTCTCTTTCTTCGGCAGCGTCCGCCAGCCTTGGCGCCCACTATGTCGCATAGGATGAGCCAAGCACCGAAAGAACAGTATTGAGAGCTTCGATGAGCTGGGTGGGTGTGGCAGTCAATAGCGCACATATATCTATGTATATGTAAAATATTGGGCTTCCATGATTGCTCATGTTGTAATAGGTGCCGCTCCTGTAACTCTGCTCCAATGCGCAATAGTCATGGTACGCAGCAGTGTGTGGCAAATATGAAGTAGCAAATTCTACCATAGGATGCACACTAACGAAAATTGGGGAAGCTAAAACTCTTGTCATATGCAAAGTCTCTTTTCACCCGCATATTGGTCACAAGGCTCTTGCAACAACAAAGCTGTTCTCAAGGTTCGGGAAACTCTTGAATTGGCCGGGGAACACACTGATTGTAGCATCAGTCTTGACAGCACATCTCTTACTATAGCGGATTCATCGCTTAAACAACTGCGCGCTCGCTCCGCAAGCCATCCCAAGCCAAAAGCCCCAGGCAACAAGCACAACACAACCTATGGAGATTTAATCCGTACTCATTGTGGCCCAGTGTCCTCACTGGCCTTACTTGTCAACTAAGTCCCTCAAACCCTAAAGCGTACACCGTGCTACAACATTTCGTCGAATGTCAGCTCTGCCCTATCCACTTGGCGTTGCCACGATGCATCTAAAGGCTGTCAAGGTGCGTGTTCACACGCCTCGGTGCTCCGCTAGGAACCCCGTGGCTTTGGCAGCCTCGCACCCGGAAGAAGCGCAGCGCCGAGGCTGCCGAGGCCTGGTTGGGCTTTGCGCGCGAAGCTCTCGGCGACCTGGACTCGCTCGAGTCTTCCCGCGAAGATCTCGACGAGCTCGAGCTTGAGTGCCTTGAAGCTGAGTCACTCTGTACCTCGAAGCGAACCGATCGGCATAAATCTATGCATTGTATATATATCATTGTATGTGACTACCAATGTAGTTGCGCATAAAAATAACCACGTCATAAACAATAGAATAGAATCAATCTGATTCAATTGAGTCGCGTTTGCAGGCTGGTCATTGTTGTCGCCGTCACGATCGCTCTTTTCTGATGTCTCCGACTCGGAGCTGTTGTTCTCCCCGGCATGTTGTAGGAAGACCTCCTTCCACACTGACCACGCGCCTTTCCGGCGAGGTGTTCTGAGCGTCCCACACAGCTAAAAGCACTACTTCAGAATGGCTCTTTGAAACAAACAGGCTGCAAGGTAAGTAACTATACATCTGTGCGTGTGTCTAGAACTCAATAGTCCACATGCTCATAAAGGGGAAAACTTCCTCCTTTGCTCCTTTCACCCAAGCATGGTTACCTGCTTCCTTCAATCGCTCTGGCTTGGCTGTCATGTGGTTACCCCGCCGAATCGACATGTGATGGTTTTGTCGCTGCAGCGCCTTCCAGCGATTCAACTGCATCTTCATACCTGACAACTCTGAGACACCTGGACCTGCCAAAGGTCTCCAACCTACTAGCGAACCATATAACATGCCGCTTCCAAGACTTCTCCCATTTCATCACTAATTCAAACGAATGTAGGAGCAAGTGATAGGTCGTGCTGTGCCTACCCAACGCGCCAAAACGGCTATCTATCTTGCCAGCTGTCATGGCCCCAAGTTTTAGCAGAACCAAAGGGGGGCCATGGTGCTGCAAAAGCATGAAATGGAAACCAAAACGTAAAGTTCCCGAGAGGCACTCCCCAACATTTTGCCAGCAGAACGGTTGCTTGTATGGCACATGTCCCCATGTTGGCCACACTAGCCCCCAGCAACAGATTTTGGACATCAGTGCTCAACCCCAGGCTACACACAGCAAACTCATGCACTGAAAATGTCCGCCCCTTTATTACCCAACATGCAGAATGATTTGTGGAGCTTCTTTGCTTTTCTTTGCTTTCTCCCTTGCATCTTAGGAGCTCGCACCGCTCCAAATGTGTGAGCCCTTGGCCTCGCACAAGGAAGGCACGATGGTGCGATACTGAAGGACCAGTTTAGGAGCCTAGCAGGCCTACTATTAATGGCTCTCCTTTTGGCTTCACCAAAGCAGCCCACGATTGTGTTCAGGGTGGAAGACTCAGATTGAAAAGCGGAGGTTTTACACTTTGTGCATGAGGTGTAGGGGCCCATGTATACAATGTCCCACAACCACGGGCACTGACTTGTTCTTCTGAGGTCTCACGCCACTCCTGGCAGATGCAAGAGGATTGAGAATATACGTTTCCATGAACTCTCGCTTCTCAATACCTTTGCATGGAGCAAAACTATGTCACCAGCGGATTTGAAGCTGGATGATGGGTGCTGAGCAGCCGAGCGGCCATACGCCGCGTGTCCCACCAAATAGCGGTTGTTCTTATCCCCTTGCCGGCTCGGCATCAAGTGCTCCACCGCTCCAAAGGCACGAGCTTCACGGTCGCGGCGCATGGCTATCACGTGGTCACTATGCCGGGGGAGAGGAAAAGGAAAATGGAGGCCACTCGCTCAAAGGCTGCCACGGGGGGGGCGAAGTTTCACACGTGGCTCCTTGCTGTACTGCCAAGATAAGCTTGCCAGCCACATATTATACCTGAAGAAGGATGAGACAAGCAACTTGACAAACAAACCCAAGATGTGCAAACCCCTCTTGGTTGTGAACCCCTGGTAAAAGAGCAAGTCAAGACAATGATCTCTGACAACCTGTTATATCATGTGTTGGTCATTGCGCCTTGATGGATGGAAAAGTATAAATCGTAGCATCTCATCACCTCTAGGGCATGATGAGTATGTTGAGCTGCTGCACCGGTTGCATCAGCACCACCTTCAAAAGACACATGGTCTTATCATGATGGTAGAATGATGTAGAATGAATGAGCCCCACTCTTCGAAGTAGCGGGGAACCACTGTTTTGTGACAGGAAAGCATGTCTATGCATGTTTGCATTAACCTGCTATGCTGGCTATGCTCATTCAGCTACTTCATGGCCACAAAATCCCAGCGTTCTCGACTGCAACGACCGGACGGCAGCCTGAAGCAGTCAATCCCTCTCAAACATCCATTCCAACCCTCTGAAACAGTCGAATGGAATCGCTCTTAGGCTGGAGAGCCATTCCTGGTAGGTTGGAGGCCGTCGCTCTTAGGTTGGAGGCCATCGCTCTTAGGTTGGAGGCCATGGCTCTTAGGTTGGAGGCCAAATACCAGTCTAGTAGAAAACCACAAGGAATCAACGGGAATCAACAGATATCAATGTCGAATCTCACAATGCCTCTGAATCTCCAAGTGCTTCTACAACAAAACATAACAAAACCCTTCGATATCAAAAATGCAAGATATCAACACATGTGACAGGAACATGAGCCAAAGGGATCATTCTCTGCTTAGAGGTCGGGTATTAGATCGGCCTGCACTGATCTGCCAAACTCCACCGTTTTGCTGAGCACCTCACTGCTGGGATCTTACAGCGCCTCATTCGCACCAGGGCATTTTGCATCAAAATCGTACTGCACCCCATGCACCTCAAGCATCAGCTCTACCGCAGCTCGAACTGCGCCCAGCTTTCTTCAACAATCTCGCTGGTTTCGAAGCAGAAGCTAAGTGGCTTAGCACTGCCTACACTGGCAATTCGATTAAAAAAGTGATTTCGGATTGCCATGTCAATCTGTACAAACATGAAGGGGAGCCAGCATCTTTTGAGGCACCGTTCTGTCAACCAATATCAGCCTGATGAGCTCTGCGTTCAAGACCTGTGCCATCCTGTGTCAGTGAAAAAGGTGAAAGCCCACTGAAACACGTCGTAGCAAGAACATCCATGCGGCTTGAACTGTTGCCCGGCCAGGGCAGCACAAACGGAGCCAATGCATAACGAGACTCAGCTCTGTTAGAGGCACTAGCTCACTAGCGTGCAGCCCTTCTTGGGCTGTGCAATACTTACTAGAGGGCCTCCCAGGAAGCTTCTCCAAGGCATGTCAAACAACTCATTAATGCAAGTCTATATCTTGTTTTTTTTTTCGCTCTTTTGGCCAATGAGTCGACATGGTCAAATATGGATCTTAAAACATTCTCGAGCGCAAGCACTCAAGCTAGATGATGGCGCAGCTTTTCCAGCTGAGCACATCCGCCGTTGACCAGCCACAGGATGCAGGCTGTAATCAAGCACCACACACTTGAACCAACTACGCCTCTTGCGATGGCGATGAAGGCAAGAAATGCGCCACAAGTGGCAACTGTCGAAAACACAATGAACATAATAAAAGTTTCAACGAAAGCTAAGCATGCTACGCCAGGCCTACAAGGACGGGCAAACCGTTCACAAATGTACAACGCCAGCTGAATCATCAAAAGGAGCCAGCATGTGTCAATCCCCAGAACAACGCCAATGAAGTACGAAAGAGTGATGTTCATTGGCACACCTGCCTTCAGGAGGCTCACGGATGAACTCAAACCGGTTCCCAAAAGGGGTGTGATGATAATGAGGCAGTAGCCGAGAGGAATCCTGGCAAGGTGGTCTTTCATCAACTCCTCGCGGAGTGGTCCTCGCACATGTTCCGTAAAGGCTGCAGCACCCCCATACCATTCAGCAATGGCCGCATGCACAAACTTCTTGTCAAAGTCCACCCGGCACTCCACAGCGTCTAGATCAAAGTTCTGAATGTCACCTCAGTCCACGGACTCCAAGACTCTAAGGCTTTCTAGTAACTAGAAGCTACTAGGTGGAGGCCATCGCTACTAGTAACTAGAAAGCTTTCTAGTAACTAGAAGCACCTCAGTCCACAAACTCCAAGACTCTAAAGGACTCATGGCTGAACTGAGCTCCAAGTAAGTGCCACTTGCTTACGTAGCTGTGCCAACTTAGCGTCTTTGCTCCTTTTTGTTCATGTTTTGTGATTGACCTGACTGACCTGCCCACACACGACAGCCCGCAAAGCCCAAAAAGCCGCACTTGGCTCACACCAGGCAAACAAAGCACAACAGCATCCCTTGGTTCACCTTCAAACAAGGTCATAGGAATGAGACGGACCCCTGGTCTTCTTGCAAATCAATGCCCGAAATCACCGAAAACACACAGGCCATGTGCTAAAGGCCCTTGAGGAAAAATCAAGCGGGCCTTCAGTTTTGCGCAGTGCACTCAAAGTCTCAGACTGTAGCAGTGACGTGGGATGTGCTGCAGTGTTCTATACCCCTTTTCTCTCTCTCTCTCTTGCATTGCTTGACACTCCCCTTTCAAGAATGAGTTCATCCACAGCAAGTTTGTTCACCACTCAATGTTACAAAGGACTCAGACCTCCGTGATTGCGTTATTTAAGACATCCGCTGCACCACAGTCCAGTCAACCGCAATACCAAGACAATTGCACTGCATATCTGCATATATATATATATTACATCGCTCTACGTTGCTATACCATATCGTTTTGCATAGCGATGGCCTCCATGTGCTACTACCAAGGACACCCAACAACAAACCGGTGAAGCCCAGCCCACACAATCTCAGTGAAAACTGATGGCAAGTTGCCAAATAGCTGCTGCTTCGATAGAAAATTCTTCCCTCAAGGTGCGATGCAAAACAATGAAACAGCGTATATAAGACTAGCCCTTCGATGAGGCATTTGCCAATGACTGCTACTATAATTCATTCTGATAAGGATCCTGAATATTTGGATCATCGCCATTAAGAGCGACAAATAAACTGCCCAAACTAGACTGTGTATGTTGCCCTTGAACATCTTCGACTTGCAAATCCGACCCCCGGTTCTTAAAGTAGAAGCGACATCAAGCATTCCTTCAGCTGAAAAGGATTGGCACTGGTCCCTCAATATTTCCGCTCTTTAACTACAGACTCCTAGAGGTCTTTGCACAGATCCAACCGAGTCTTCGAAGGGCAGTCGGGCCTACAAATCTGCACTTAGTGCATTCTCCACCTTTTCACTTCTTTCACCCGACGACAATATGCCAGCGCAACACTGTTCCAGCCCGAGCTTGCAAAGTACCCTTTCGTCATGTTTTGGCATCCAAAGGGTTTTCCATCCCTCGAACATTGCAATCCGCTCATCCGATTGCAATCCGGGCTCTGAGGGAATGGAAAATGAACAGGCACGGCACCATCGCGATAATCCTCAGGTGGTGCTCAGGTGTGACAAAAAAGGCTCCCCCTCTTGAGGTCGTGCAAGACTGAATCTCCGCCCTCTTTGGTCTATGACAAAACTCAGCGATTAACACCCCCCATTGGCCCATCCTTGCTTTGGGCGCAACAAATTGATCAAACCGAGTCAAATCTCAATCGAAACTTGTGGCCAAGAGGCAGCGTGAAGATTCCAAAGGTTGCTCCGATCGTGGTGAATGCCATGGTGAGATTCAGAAATGCGTTCGTCAGCAAGACGCCCGTCCAACTTGCAAGCACCGTGATTTCTACCTTAGTGCATCTTAGGAGCAAGGAGGCTACTAGGGGCTCCTGGCCTTACCACTAGTGTTGTCAAGATGGTAAGGACATGCCGAGGTGATCCTACAAGCCATGGCCAACCCTGCTACTATACCTCATCTTTCGCTACACAAGGAGCGATCATGAAGAGAAAAGAATGCAATTGAGTTTCACTGTAAGTGACTGCCCCTTCCAGACAACTAATGGTGCGTGAGGAGCTCCTCTGCACTGAGGACTTGCAACTAGTAGTAAGAATGCTCCTAGTAGCGATGCCAGGAGCCCCTAGTAGCTTCTTGTTCCTAGTAGTAAGGCCAGGAGCCCTTAGTAGCATTCTTGCTCCTAGTAGCGATGCCAGGAGCTCCTAGTGGTGTCTTGTTCCTGAATCTGCTAAAGCTTAAGCCGATCTACAAACAAAGGCCTCACCGAGATTTTGCCGTTGGGGTTCGCCATGCGGTATGCGGCCACTTCAAAGATGCACCACAGCCTTGGGTTTGCATATGCTAGCTCGTGCTAGCAGCGGCTAGCAGCTAGCACATGGCCCAAATATGACTTTCATTTACATGTTTCAATTTGAGCTTGCCAAGTTTGTTTCATGTTTTCAGGTTTCCTAGAATTCCAGATACGAAGCGCACCAGCGGTTGACTCAATAAAGAAGTACCAGGATAGTTAAGGTGCCGAGACAAGTATGGAGGGCTCCACATTATGCGAAGTTCCTTGGAGGCCTTTAAGAAACCTCCAAGGCCATAAATGCCACGTTCCTTCAAGGTCTCATCTGATTGATTGATGCTGGCCACATCCAGAAAGCAATGCTTGTCTCGCATGCAAGGCATGTAAGGAGTGATGAGAAAGCACATCACAGAGACAGCAGGTGCCAGGCTTGATCCCCAAATGTGCCAATCAATTTCGGCCGCGTAGTTCCTCGCCGTGCTCAAGGCTTGCCGCCCGCGAAACAAGAAAGACTCAACCACATGTTTTTATGTTTTTGTTCTTTATTTCTTGTAGGCCGTGGCGTGTGGCCCTGCCTCCTTACTTAT